TGCTTCATGGAAGAAGAACCTCAGGTTAGCCTGTTAGCTTTAGCATTAGCCCCGATGCTATATTGCCTTATATGTATTAGCTCAGCGCTACACATTCTCATCTCGTCACTGAGGTCCTCCATCCACATGACAGAGAGGGGAACACAAAAATGACTCAGTCTGCAACTGAAAATATGGATGGAGGACCTCAGTTTAGCTTGTTTGTCGTGCTAGCACCGAGCTAATAAACAGTATATAAGGCAATATAGCACCAGAGAAATATCAGGTCTTTTCTGCCCGTGAACACCATGAGCCTAAAAAAAACCTGAGTGGTCCCAGCAGACTGAGCTGATTCATGCTGCTCTTTTTTTTCATTACTTTTCTAAAAGAAATTTGCTGTTTTTTCAGTGGGGAGATAAACAAAAACAAACTTAGCAGGAGCCCAGGTTATGGATGGTTCGTCTGGGTGTGATCCCTCCCCCAACAAACCAGCTCATCAATGGTCTGATTTCTTCTTTCTACTGAAGCCTCCAGCTGGAAACCAACACCTTCAGACAAATTCTGCTGCGTGGTGAGATCCTGAAGCCAAAACGTTCTGGCTCTTCGTCACTTTTTCCTTAAAGTTTTGAGCTAATTGGCAAAATTTTCTCAAAGTGCATGACTGAGACTTTAAGTAAAGCTTTAAACCTCCATCCCTTAGCAGCTTCAGCTCCGTTGAGTGGTCTGCACTGATCCCATCATGCCTTGCACGTCAGCACACACAGCAGCCCTCACATTCCTCTCCTGCTGAAATCATATTTTCTAGCCGCTGCTGATTTGTTTGGTCACAGCGGCGCCTGCATGATAGATGTTTTTCTGGCTGAGGACCCCCCCCCCCCCCCCAATCACCTCCATTAAGTTTGGAGGTATGTGGACCTGCAGAGTCCCGAAGTCAGTCTGAGACCTTTTTTAGAGTTGGAGTGAAGAACGCACAGATGTTGGCAGAAAACTCGCTGCTAACGACGTTCTTGGCTTCCCGCCAGACATTATACTCAAAATAGCAACAGTGCTGAAAAACGAGTACCCAGCATGCTTAGCTCCAGGTGTGTCTCGGCCAGGAACAACATACAGAGGCGTCACAGCTGTGTGTGCACATGTGTTTTCCAGGGCCACTGCTAAAAGAAATAATAAAGCACTCTGCAGGATTATGTTTTACTCTTTCTTATGATTTTATAGACATTTATCTGATTGTTGCACCTTAAAATGTCTGATTTAGCAGCAGATTTTTCAGAAAATCACATTCAGAATTCAGTCAGATTATATAAGAATACACAGATTTGGTGTTTAGCTGTTCAAAGGTACCCAACACTTATTGTTTATTTGTTTGTTTATTTATTTATTTATTTAGGTGTATGTTCACTCTAAACCAGAGCTTCCCAAAGTTGGGGTTGGGACATACAATGGGGTCTTGAAACATCAAGGTGGGGTCCTGAAAATAATAATATTTAACAAAAACAATAGGCCTTCGCAGCGCTTAGCTGCTCGGGCCTAAAAATACATACGAACAATTTCTTGCCTTAGTTGTTACAAATGAGTGAGGTAAATGTACTTAAAATAGATAAAACTAGCATCATGAATATCATTACGGTGCCCTTGTTTATTTTACACATTACCAATATTTATCACCCAAAAATATTTGGGGGTACAGGTCTATGATAATATTATTTTGATGGCCAAAAGCTGAAAAGTTTGGGAACCACTGATCTGAACGGTTAATTTTTCTTCAGCATTAAGTATCTTGTGGCCATGCAGTAAATATTTTGTGGCCATGCAGTAAGTATCTCATAACCATGTGTTAAGTATCTTGAGATACATTAGGTATCTCATGGCCACCTGTTAAATATCCTGTGGTCATATATTTATAAACTCATGGCCATGCATTAACTACCTTGWGGCCATATGTTATGYATCTCTTAAGCATGCATTAAGTACCTCATGGCCATGTGTTAAGTATCTTGAGATACATTAGGTATATCATGGTCACATGTTAAATATCCTGTGGTCATATATTTATAAACTCATGGCCATKCATTAACTACCTTGTGGCCATATGTTAAGTATCATGGCCACGTGTTAAATATCTCATAACCATGCATTAAGAATCTCATGGCCATGAATTAATTATCTTGTGGCCACACATTAGGAATCTTGTAGCCACACATTAAGTATCTCATGGCCACATGTTTAATATCTTGTGGCTATGCATTAAATATCTCGTGGCCATGCATTTAGTATCTCATGGCCATGTGTTAAGTATCTTGAGATACATTAGATATCTCATGGCCACACATAAATTATCTTGTGGTCATGCATTCAGAAACTCTTGGCCATACATTAACTATCTTGTGGCCACATGTTAAGTATGTTGTGGCCACATGTTAAGTATCATGGCCATGTGTTGAATATCTTGTAACCATGCATTAAGTATCTCAAGGCCATTTATTAAATATCTCATGGCCACACATAAATTATCTTGTGGTCATGCATTAAGAAACTCTTGGCCATATATTAACTATCTTGTGGCCACATGTTAAGTATCGTGGCCATGTGTTGAATATCTTGTAACCATGCATTAAGTATCTCAAGACCATTTGTTAAATATCTCATGGCCACACATTAAAAATCTTGCAGTCATTCATTAAGAATCTCATGGCCATGCATTAACAGTCTTGTGGCCACAGTTAAGTATGTTGTGGCCACATGTTAAGTATCATGGCCATGTGTTGAATAACCTGTAACCATGCATTAAGTATCTCAAGGCCATTTGTTAAATATCTCATGGCCACACATTGAAAATCTTGCGGTCATTCAATAAGAATCTCATGGCCATGCATTAACTATATTGTGGCCATGAATTAAGTATCTCATAGCCATGCATT